GACAAGGACCTCCTAGACCATCAAGTCCAGCCTCCTGTGATGGAGAGCATCTATACAATATATATTTGTCCAAAAGGGTCTACATGGGTTCATGTCAGAATAATTGTTTACACCGCATTGCACAGGTGTAAACAGCTCCATAAATTTCAAGGCAGCGTAGAATCAGGCTCTTGTTTTTAGCAGGTAGATCTGCAGATAATGCTAAGATAGAACTGCAGTTGCATTTCCTTAAACTCATTTTATACCAGTATCCAAGTAAAGTGAACTTACTGGGCGTTCTTAACCTGTGAGTGTGCTTTGAAGAAAAAGTAATAAAATTAAGAAAAATAAAAAGTGACTCAATGAGCATAATTTAGTTGGATTTTTCAATAAAGCTGGAAGGCAGTGGTCATGTCTTTGGCTGAATCCCCATCTAACTTACTGCAGTTCTCAATCAAGCTGAGCCGTAATACTGTAGAAATTAATAGTAGAAGTGTGTGAAATAGGCCCTGTTCAATTTGGATTTGGCCTGAATCTGGGACAGTGATTCAAGCCGTTGATTCGGATCACTGTCCCCGATTTGATTTGGCCAAATCCGAATCTAAAGATTCGATGCTGATTCAGGGAATCAGCAATTTGGACATAGACACAGCTTTAAAAGTTTTTTTCTACATACCTTGAGGTACCAGTGTGGCTTGTGAACACAGCAATACTGGGGTGGATGAAGTGTCCCACAGGAGTGCGGGGGGGCCCCGTGTGCTCAGCAGTGAACTGGGGAGTGTGTTGGGGGGCCCCAGCATGGCCCCTCAGCTCAGTGATTGGCTGTGGGGGGACATCAGGTGCCCCCTCCCCCACAGGTGCAGGAAGCACCAGTCACCAGTGGGGGGGGGCCTCCACTGCGCTCCTGGAAGTGCTTCTGGTCCGCTTCCAGGTCTGCTGCCGAGCACACTGGGGAGCCCCCTACACTCCTGTGGGACAGTGCCTGTGCCCCAGCATCACAGCACTCATGAGCCCCTGCTACCTAGAGGTATGTAGAAAAAACATTTTAAAGCTGTCTCTGTGTCCGAATCGCTACATCTCTCGGAATTGATTTGGAGAGATTAAAGGGTCCTCTGATTCGATTCAGACATTTGGCTACTGAATTGGGCTGAATCTCGGCTGGATTGAATTGGGGACCAACACTTTGAACAGCTCTAAAGAATAGCTGATTTTTCAGTGCCATCCCCTACTCCTAACTAAAATCAAATCAACTATGTTAAAAAGGAAGTCAGTTGTGTGGTTATGTTGTTCTTTTGGCTAGTACTACAGATGTTCAGTTCTGCAAGATATAGACTGTTGCTACATGAGAGGCTGAGCATGTTCCACTCCTGCTGACTTCACTGGGAGTTGAGGGCACTTCATACATCATAGAAATTCTCACCTTACAGATTCAAAGCCCAGATACACAATCTCCCTTCTACATGACACACCTGGCCATGATTTGTTAAAAAGGGTGTTCTCTATTTATTATTGCACAAACAATGATTACCTTTCTAATCTGAAAGGCTATAATTACCAGTGTTCGTCATTTTATGCTATGGGATACTAAGGATTTCCGCTGGGGTCTAAAAATAACAGTACTTGCCACACCTGGAAATGTAAGTATGAAGGCAATAAAATGACTTCCCAAGCCTATCTTCTGGAATGATGCAGCATTCCTCAACTGCATCAGAAAGCCTGTTTTTATAGGTCTACCTAGTCATACAGCTGCACAATAAGCATCCAGTTCAAAAAAGAATAAAATAAAAAACACATTCCCACAAAAACAAGGATTAGCTCCAGTTTTTTGCATGTCATTACTGAGTTGAGTTTGTAAGGTGGTATCTGCCTAGCTGTTTGTTTGGCAAATTTCCCAGTGAAAGACTTCAAACACATGTCTGACAGAGCAGTTATTCCAAAAGGATCAAGATTTACATTTTAATCTTTAAATTGACTAAATGTTAGGAAGAGAAGGACCCTAATTAAAGGAAACTTTGGTTTTTGTATTGATTGGTGCTATACTGAAGAGCTGGTTTAAGATGACAAAACACCACCTCCTGTTCTGAAAGAAGCACCTGAACAGAAGGACTCCTGCTCTGCCTGTCTTGTGGGTTAGGTCTGGGAGGGCTAGACAATCTCCCTGCTTTGTGCAGATGCACACTTCCAAGACAAAAACAGCGCAAAGTCTGCCCAATCCATAGTTATATCAGCCTGTCATGTTGTAACTAGTCAGCACATAAACAAATAAAATAATCTTTAGCTCCTGCAAGTGTAAGACTTGCAGAACAAAAGAAAGGTGAAAAATAATATCTATTCCATATTTTCCTTGTTTACTGTAAGGTTCTTAGCAGCAGATGTCTTAGCATCAAGAATAAACTTTCCAAATCTGGAGCAAGGATCATTGCATCCCACTAATTCTGTAAAAGGCCCCTGTTGGTTTGGGGGGGGGGAAAAGATATAAAGCATAACTTCTGTATTTCAAGTAGTCTAGTTGAGACCCAGCGCAGGGAAGTACAACTAATATTTTAGCAAAGAGTTTTCCCTAACGTGCCCCTTTAGGCTGTGATAAAAATAAACTCTTTGTGCCTGCATATATGCAATTCCAGAAGGATTCTAGTATGTTTCCATGTATATACTTACACCAAAAAACTTTCTCTTAATCACTGGACAAGCAAAGTGGTTTATACTCTTTGCTGAGATCTAGATGCTCAATATGCTCTTCACTGGGATCAACATAGATAGAGATTGCACCTTTTCTGAATACCCTGTCTTAACCCCTGCAAGTTTCTACCTTTAATTAAATAGATGAAATAGTAAGAGCAGGTTGTATTTTTTTCCCTTTCCAATTTTTTTTTTTGCAACAAAACATAGCTGTTTCCTCCCCAAATTACCTGGAAAATTCAAAACATGTTTGCCTTCTGAAAACCTAAAATTGAAATTGTTTTAGTAGAAGCAGCAGCACATTGTGTTGGGAAAAGGAACACCAAACCAAAATCTTTCAGCAAAATGATTAAAAAATTAACAAAATTGTATAACCCACTGCCATGTTAGCACAGCAGTCTACTTAGGCTAACATTCCTGCTTCTCAGCAGGGCTAATTACCTTGAGTCTTGTGCCTCATCAACGCCGCTATACAATTTCTGGCACCTGTGCCAGTTCGTTCATTTATTCAGGTATCTCTACGCTCTTGCATTTAGATGTGGCCTTTGTACTGTTGGCCTTGGTTGAAGCTCCAGTTTTCACTGAATGGTAGTCATTACTTTTGTGCATTTAAAAGAAAATGCTACACACAGTTTAGTCTGTTGTGTGAACTAAATCATGGATTGTGGCAATCAGTGTCTTGTGTGTTATTAAGTGGCCCAAGAACATAATAAAGTGAACAAGTATTTTATGTATAAATCTGGTGTAGTTCAGTACTTAATACACTTCATTTGTTTTTATTCAGGATGGAGCTAGTGCACTATTCCTGGCTGCCCAAGGAGGCTTTCTGGATGTAATCCGATTATTGCTGTCTTCGGGAGCAAAGGTCAACCAGCCAAGGCAGGTAATGTGTGACACTTCTGAAGCGGAGATGGCATCTAATTAACATTTGTCATGAAAACAGGGTTGGAATTTCAAAGGGCTTTTGGGAGTTAGGTCTTCTATGAGTGGTGGGTATATAACACTTATAGAAATATAGAAATTTTCAACATAAAACACTAATACAACATGGTATGCTACATATCACATGCCGAAGTCAACAGATTGGGCTGTGTGCTTATTACAGTATAACTGCTGCTGTGCCTTCTGTATCAAAGTTGATCCAAAAATCATGGCCCTAACAAGGACAGTGGTTTCATGGCTCATTACATTTATGTGCTCCCTTTGCTAACCTTTCTGTGCTCCACAGCTACGAATAGCTCTTTTCCCTTTGGAATGGGCTTATTTTTTTATATAATTAACTTTATATATTTCAGCTCTTTTTCCCTGCCCACTTCCTGTTTAAGTGATCACACTTTCATTTAGACAGAAAGAAATATCCTATCTGATATTTAGCCTAGGCAGTATCTGCTTATTTCTCAGACATGAGGAAAGACATTTTGTACTTGAAAACTTGTTTAATGTCTTTTTCAAATACACAGTTGGCCCAATAAAATATACTAACAAACAAAACTCATATATTCACTGATCACTGCAAGAAAAATGCTACATTGATTTTTGATAAAACCTTTTATTTTTTTGTGTTTATTTTTCTGCTGCCTATTCACTTTGTAGAACTCAGTCTTAAATTGTAACTTAAACTGCTTACATGCTTGGCATCTGTCTACTGCCCCGGTGTTTGCAGTGAATTACCCTCTAGAGTCTGATCCAGCAAACATCTTAAGGACATGCATAACTTTACCAGGCGAACAGTTTGATTGCAAAGAATGAGGCTGCTCCTAAGTGTAGTTATACATGTGTTTAAGTGCTTTGCTGGATCAGAAACTTCTGCACTAAGGGCCTGATACAACTACTGTTAAATGGGCTGGAGTTAGATCAAGCCTTAAGGAAATATAAGTGTGTTAAACTGCATCAGAGCCTAAGCACACATGAATGTATCCACACTTTTGCCATTTGAGGTAAAATTGACAATATACCCAGTTTTCAAATTAGGAAGCGTTACATGACAGCTAGTTATTACTGTTGGATGCTGAAATCAGCAGTTGAACATAAAGTGGGCATTTACTTACAAGACAAAATTTTCTCCCCACAATCAGCATGGGGAGAAAAGCCCTTCACTTTACATTTGCATATAAGGAGACCTCAGTAAATACACTGGCTGTGCTTGAACTGTTAAAAGCAGCATGTGCTCAGTAATGGAAACCAGCTATGAAGTTGATTAAATGGAGCCAACACTGACCACGACTATAAAATACATGGCCCATATGGCATACGTGCTGATGGTAACCAACAACAAGGTAAGTTGGTGCAGCCCATCTGAATAAGGTATACGATAGTGGGGTCCACTAAGCATAGTCCCCTCAGCTCTTGACTCTTTTTCAAGTCATCATAAGCCACTATACTGAATACATTTTGAAAACAGTGACAAATTGATGCATTTTATCCCTTTTTTAATATTGATGCAAGTTTTAGTACAGATATTCCACAAACATACCTTTAAGCAGTACTTATGTGCCTCCTTATATGGTGTACGAACTATGTGTGTTTTCAAATTTGCTTCTCATTTATATGCTCAGGGAAATCAAGGTGCAACAGTAAGGAGTGGGGAAGGGGCTGCAGGGGTAAAAGTTGGGGGCAGGGGGCAAGTGATGTCAAACAAAGCTGCAGGCATCTGAACCCTGAGGCCTCCGGGCCTGGGATTGCATGTTGAATGCCTACCTGGATTTGGGAAGTATCCAAAGCTCCACAGTGGGTTGGGGAGGGAGGACACTTACCCAGTGGTAGAGCCACAAGAACTTGGCAGTCGAGCTCTGCTTAGTCGAATTTTGCCCAATTGAATTTGGAACTAATTTGGCCTTGAAAAAGGTTTTAAAAAATAGTTTGTACTACATATAAGTAGAAGCCACAATTCTACTTAAAAACATGGAGTACCTGTGCTAAAACTTGTAGCAGTTTCATGGGAGATAAAATGCATCGATTCTGGATGAATTAAGTCTATAGGTACTGTATGCAAATTACTGTAGGTATGTGTATTTCAAGGTTAGTGTTTTCAAATTTTTTTCTCAATTCCATGTGCTCAGGGAGAGCAGGGTCGACATTGAGGAGGGGGGGGAAGGGGCTGTAGGGGGGAGGCAAAAGGTTACTTGGCTCCCAGATTTATTTTCCCTGCTGTAGCAGTGGGAGGGGGACAAATTCAGAGCAAACCTCCAATAATTAAATTCTGTACCTGGCAAATTATAACACATTTATACATTTTCCATATATAGAATCTAATTATTGGGGGGGATCATCAGGATCATCTAATATTTGAGTAAATGGGATATTTATTTATCTGCATTTCTCAGTACTATTTTGGGCATCCAGATGTTGGATTTGTGCATCCTACCTAAATACTTATATTTAGAAATGTGGCTTTTTGGGATGCTTGAACTTGCTTTATAAGGTTATCACCAAAGAGCGATGCATCAGTTCTGATACAATATCTAGTTTGAATTCTCACCAACCTTAAACTGTACATTTAAAATGTTTGGATAATATTCCTCCTGGCTTCATTCCTGTATGCCTCTGCTAGCTGGCTGTGATTTACCACTTTCACTTGATTAAGAAATCAAAAAGAAGCAGCAAATAAAATGTGAAAGTGATAATAACAATGTAAAAGGTATCCTGTCAATAGGTTCTACAATCACTTTAAATATTTTGGTATTTCGCAGAGTTGGAAAACTACAGCCATGCAGCAGAACATCAACTTTTAGGGCTATGTGACATTGTTTTATTCTGCTGCTACTTAATGCTAGAAAAATGTGACAGGCCACTTTACACTGAAACAATCTTACCCCGCTTGCTGTATCCTCCCAGATGGCCAGCCAGGTATTGTCTGGACTGTTGCCTGAATTGTTCTTTGACTATGTGTGTGTGTCTGTCTTTGTGTCTCTGGGTTTGTCTAGACCAGGGGCGGGCAATTATTTCAGGTGGAGGGCCGCTTACCCAGTTTGGCGCACTGTCTAGGGCCTCGTGGGTAGCCCCGCCCCTTGACAGGTGCCCTGCCCCCTGGTCACCATCTTGGGACCAGTGTCCCAGGGCCAGCACCGGTGGGGCCCAAAGCGGGGCGCAGGCTGGCAAGGGTCTGTGGAGCCCAGCTGGGCTGCAACAGCAGGGAGGGGTGAGCTGGCCCAGCTCCATAGAGCCCCTGCTGGCTGGGACCCCGCGCTCCTGCCACCCTTCTCTAGGCCCCGCCAGCACTGGCCCCAGGACACCAGTGCGGGCCCCGTGCTCCGGCTGGCTTCCTGCCCA